GTACCATTTTCAGGCTTGTAAACGCTCGTGCTAACTTCGCGAGCACCGAACAACTGAAAGCCGTATAAAGGTACTATCGCGAACATGCTGCATGTGTCTGAGGCTTGTCGCTGTCGTTTGTTTCTGTTTCTAGTTCTAGTGGGACTCGGGCCCATCATAATCTTTGAGTTGAACACGAGCCGTCACCCGAATGTTTGGCGATGCTGGTTGTCATGAACCAGAGCATTCAACTCGGGATCATGACAATCGGGCACATCATGGTGTCACGTCACTCTCAGTGCGAAGTTGTGATGTCATGTGACGTCACGGTATCAACAACGTTAATAGATCTAGGGACGTCCTCAATTTGAATCTGCGCGGTGAGTCACGTGACGTCACGGGGTCACGTGATGTGACATTACTTGATAGCGTGTCTTGACGTCATGACGTCACGTGACGATGTGACACATGGTTAATCATAGTGCCAATAAGAAAGCGTCGCAGAAAACCAGGATTTATTATACATTGCAATTCTGTATATGACGATTTGATCAATATAGAAATACAGCTGCCAGTTTTTTTTTTATTCCCAAATAATAAATTTGTAATACTAACAAAAAAAAAATACCGCGAACCGTTTTGAACCGGTTACCGTTATATTTTTTTTTCGGTTCAGTTCCGGTTCAGTTTCAAGATGGCGGCGAAGATTTCGGTTCGGTTCAGTTCCGGTTCGGCTAAAAATAACGGTTCTGTTCCGTTTTTCGGTTCGGTTCGGTTCCGGTTCGACACCCTGGGCGTGAGGGCGGTGAGTGGCGTGAGGGCGGTGAGTGGCGTGAGGGCGGTGAGTGGCGTGAGGGCGGTGAGTGGCGTGAGGGCTATGAGTGCGTTAGGGCCGTGAGGGCCGTGAGGGCGGTGAGGGCCGTGAGGGCGGTGAGTGGCGTGGGGCCGATGAGGGGCGTGAGGGCCATGAGTGAGTGAGGGGCGTAAGGGCCGTGAGGGCGGTGAGGGGCGTGAGGGCGGTGAGTGCGTGAGGGCCGTGAGGTTCAGTGAGGGTGAGTGAAGGGCTGAAGGTGAGTGTGATGTGAGGGTGAGGGTGAGTGAGGGGGTGAAGGTGAGTGTGGCTATGAGGGTGAGGGTGAGTGAGGGCGACCTAATATGCCGACCTCTGGTCTCAACTACACATTGAGGTTGATTCATAATTAAAATTTTATATTGCATCATTCATTACATTATAAGCCAAGATATAAAAAAAAAAATTAAATGTTGACTTTTAAAAATCTTTTGCAGGGAAACGAATGAGACAGGATTAATCAATTAGAGTCGCTATGAACCGGGGTAAAATTTTTAATCTGCACTCATTCCTAATAGTAATGATTGGCTGTATTGTTGTGAATAATGCACGCTAGATTCTCAGTTCCTATGTTCCATAACAAGAGCCCTAGATCACTTTGGACTGGTTGTCTTCAGTCATGCTGCAGCTGCCAAGAAGCCTTTATGACCACTGATAGTATGAGAACGGCAGTGACATTCTTCAATTGTCCCCCGTCTGTGAGAGCTTTCTATTTCTGACGACACTTTGGCCTCTTGTAAACGTCGAGCTTGCGCGCGCAGCAAAAGCACGGCGGAAGGCAGTGGGCATGTGCCAGAGGTTGGCATCCGATAAAGGTGCCCTCTCATTCTCATCCTCTCAATGGCTATAGTTGATATTTCCCTGGAACAGCAGTTGGGAGCTCATATTCAGGTCTTGTTGCTGACTAGTTAGTTTTTTTTTGGCTCCCTTGTTTATTTTACTCATGCGGCTTATTCACTTGTGCACCTGGGCTGTGTGCTAGCAGAAATGCAGGGGTGTACGTAAGTATGCAAGGTGTTTCACCGATTGCAATTTCTCCCTTGGTGTCGATATGGCACTGTAGACGGCCTAACGTTGTAGAATCTAGTACAAATTCTAATAGCTGCTTAACATGTCTGGATGACGGGCAACAGAGCTTTAATAGGAAATTGTAAAAAGAAGAATGGAAGAATGGGCAGAGAGAAGGCAGATTCTGTGGTAGCTTGAACACGGTTTCAGGAGGGATAGACGACTAGATGATAACTTATTCGTAATGACTCGGTGCATAGAGATGGCAATGACAAGCCAAAGGCCATTATGGGTAGCATTTTTGGACATCAAAGGGTATATGACGGTGTGAATTAGGAAAAACTCTGGGACTAACTGAAGGAATATGGGCTAGGGCAACCATGGTTACGTTTCTAGAACGGGTTGATACGGAGAATAGGGTGGTTATAACATGGGAAGCCGAAACTACAAGACCAGCACAGCAATAAAAAGAAGACATAGACAGGGTTGCCCATTGTCTCCGCTGCTCTTTATGATATACTTATACCTCAGTGAGATGAAGAAAAGATTAGAGCAGTGCAACCTAGGTTTTGACCCGACTTACATGGAGGAAGGACACAAAGTAAATCAAGTATTGCCAGGGTTAATGTATGCAGACGACATTGTACTTGTAGCAGAAAGTTGTGAGACAATACAGGAACTGATCAGAATTTGCAGCAGGGAAGGGGACAGTTTAGGCCTAAACTTCAGTAGGAACAAGTCGGGAATAATAGTTTTCAACGACAGGAAGGGGGAACCCCTGGAAGTACAGGACACAATGATCGAACACATAGAAAAGTGCAAATATTTGGGAGGATGGTTAAGTTAGGGACGAAAGTATCTAAAAGGACATGAAGATATTGTAAGAAAGAAGGGGAAATAAGATTCAGCTATTATGAAACACAGATCACTCTGGAACTATAATAGATATGAAGTCGTTAGAGGTGCATGGAAGGGAGTCATGGTGCCAGGACTGTCATTTGGGAATGCAGTATTGTGTTTGAGGTCAGAAATCCAGGTAAGTTTAGAGATACAGCAAAGGGGTGTAGGTAGGTTGACATTGGGGGCACATGGGACTACACCAAATGAGGGAGTACAGGGGGATATGGGTTAGGCATCTTTCGAGAGTAGAGAAGCGATCAGTAAAGTAAAATTTGAACAAAGACTAGCTGAAATTGAGGATACACGGTGGGCAGGCAAAGTGTGTGAGTATCTACATATAAAAAGTCTAAACACTAAGTGGACAAACCGAACCCGCATTCTGAGATCTAAATACATTCAACGAGATGGGGCCAATCAGAACATATCAGTAGAAAAGGGCGTAAAGGAAACTGAGAGGAAATTGGGGGAAGAGAGAATGCACGGAAAATTAACTTCAACAATATACAGGGCACAAAAACAAGAAATAAAGAAGGAACATTTGTATGATAATTCATTGGGGAGCTTATTGCTGTTTGAAACTAGAACGGGGGTGCTAAGAACGAAAACATATAGGGCTAAATTCCAGGAAATAAAAACTCTATGCGACATATGCAAACGTGAAAGGGAAACTATAGAACATGTAATTTTAAGGTGCACGGATCTTCGTCCCTCCCTCTTGGGGGGGATGACTACGGATTTGGAGGGAGCACTGGGATTCGCAAACAGGTATGGACGAATGGATAGGGAAAGAATTGCGGTAACTAAGAGCAGATTGGAAGGTTGGAGGAAAACAAATAGGGAGGAATAAAAATACAGCTAAAATTAAGCAATGGAAACACTTCAAAGGGAGGGGGGCGGAGGGGTTGTGTTAAAACACAATTTATACAAATTAAAAAAAAAGGGATGACGTCATGTTAGGCTAGGTGGCGCAAGTTGCCGCCCGTTACAAAGATATAGCCATTACTATCCATCCATCCATCTATTCATGCTATATAAGGTCAATATTTAAAAAGTTGGTTGGGGTATTTGGGGTAATTAGATTGCTAATTATCACTTTTCATTCATGCCCTCACGTCCACCTCGGTCAACAACATTCTGGGCTGGTTTCCACATACATTGCAGTGCTAAATCAACACTGGGAACTGCGCTGACTCAAACACAGCTTAGGATGTTACAGACCTGTATCACTAATGCAGCCTGACTTGGGCAATGTCAGTGTTATTTCCTGCGCTGTGCTGTATGTGTGAGTAGGCCCTCTGCCAAAGGAATCTTTTTTCAAATGTGTGTTGTTTTTCTTTTTTTTTTTAAGATTCTCGGCTGTGGGTGAAATCCCCTGCATATTCCTCAACTTTTATTCGAAGCAGTGTGCCAGTTTCATAAAAAAATTAATTTGCCTTAATTGCCGACTGACCTAGTGAGAAAGCTACATCTGTAAATGTCTGCATTGTCAAAAACCATCATCCTCATCGCTTTCCTTGGTGCTTCACTTTTCCTCTGCACGGAATGTATAGAGGCAGTCGAAAGAGGGAGCCCTCGAAATTGTGGAACCTCGTGTCCATAAGAAGTATCCTATGTAGATATCATATCAAGGATGACCTAAAATTCTGATTGTTGTGTCGTGGCACCTTTAAAGGGACCATGAAATGAATTTTGAGCTTGGATAGATTGAAATTTTACTAATTGCATATCGTTTAATGCACCAAAAGAAAACTAATACCTAAGGGTCAAAAGGCCTGCCTTTCAGTACAAACATTTGAAAATCTAGCATACTATTTCTTACCTTCTTTCCTTTGAAAGCTCCCCCCCTTTTCACTGCGATGGATCTGCTGTGCCCAAGTATGTGAGCCGAATTCAGCTCACGCTTTGAACATGAGCACTGCATCAGATGGACGTATGCACTTGTCGACAATTAATTCGTTGACGAGTATTTGAATTTGCGTTTGTGCTTAATCAGTACCATGACGGCACCTATCCTCATTTGCTAGTAATAAGTTTCATGGTATGTTTAAAAAGCACGGTGGAAGCTTCACCACATCCAGTGCCGAAGCGTCTCACAACCACGTGATTTCTCATTTCGCTTTTGAGTTGAGAATTGAAGCTGGGAAGGAAGAAGTTGAAAATTCATTTGAGAGTCCCTTTAAGCTGCCCACTTTCTACACATGCCACTGCATGCAGTATCTTGAGGTGGATCTCGTCAGAGTTTGCGTTGTGCATACCGTTCCAGATTGCAAAGTCCGTGGATGCGCTGAACGACAGGATTGTCAAGAAGGGACAGGAAGTGAATGAGTACAGGGAGAAGCACAACATCCAGATCAGGGTGTCTTCCAACGCAGCATCCAAGCCACAGTCAAGCGACAAGTCTGCGGCACAACCTGCGACAGGGGTTCTGGTCTGAGGGTCGTTTCTGGGTTTTACTACTTACCTTTCTTTTCCTGTCAGGCTCTCACAAGAATCTAGAGCAGATGGCTTTGAGAAAAGTGCTTTGCAATGCTGAAAGGAAGCAAAGGGTACAAAGCACACATTTGCTCTCAGATCCATCTTCAAAAGTGTGAAGCTGTTGTTTCCTGTCAATCTTTCTCTCTTTTTTTTTTTTTTACTGAATTAAAGATTGAAACTATTTATATTCATGCTGCAACACTCTTCCTGTCTTTATTGGGATTGTGATGTGATGCTTGTTTACTGATGAAAGTGCCTCCAGCGTTTAATCGTTTGTACCCAGTGCATGCGAAGTGGCACGGGCCTCTACGAGCATTTTAGCCATAAAGACGCAGCCTACAAGAACGAAGATGCATCATCATGGCAAAGAATAAAAAAAAGGCCGAAGTTTTGAAACCTTTGAAGAATTATATGCATTGCAGCTGGGACTCCAAAATGCTCCTTACAATAGAAGGTACTGTTTTCTTGTTTACACTCCAGAAGGACAAGCTAAACAAATGCTGCATCCACGGCACTAGTTAAAAAGTGGTTTCAACCAGGGTGTCAAACCTAACCGGAACTGAACCAAACCAATATTTTTTGCGCCATCTTAGAACTGAATCTGAACCGGAGAAAATGGAAATATTGTTCCGAACGGGTTTGACGAAACTGTTCAGATTCACAATTCGGTCATTTTGGTCCAGCTTTCCTATCGGCCTCCAACTTTCTTTTTGCTGCCTAGTTTCCATTTCTTAGCAGCAATTTTTTTGGTACTAATATGCATTGCCGACGTGCGGTCCTGTATCACTACAGCATGATGCTACCCATCGCACAGCACTGGCTAAATTTCTCATTTACAGTGTGTCACAACGTTGCCACATTCTGGCAAACTACACTCCCACAGTATAAACAAGTTATGACGAATCTTTATAAATTGCTTGAAGATTTACTTTATCGTAATGTTACTCAATAAAGTTACTAAATAACGTTCCGCAAACGTTACTTATATCCCAGCGCATAATAATTTCCCGTATATTATAAGGTAGCGCAGTCGAACCTGGATATATTGAAGTGTAAAAAAAGAAAAAAAATGCGCACAAACAGTATTGGTGCTGCTCCGAAAGTTAATGTCTAAGAAGCCGATTCTAGACTGCCCAACGAGATGGATGTCAACCTGCGCCATGTTAAGGAGGCTATTATAGATGGAGGAGTTCTGCAATGGGCTTTTCCGGTGTTTTCCGCAAACATTGGACGCCATCTATCAGAAAGCAGGAGAAACGTTTTTGATGGCCGGCCTTGCTTCCGATTCTAGCCGCTCCAAGCTATGTTGGCCATGTTGGCTGTCTGAACGCGGCAGGGGCGGATCCAAGGGGGGGGGGGGGGGGGGGGGGGGGGCGATGGGGACGCCCCCCCCCCCCCCCAAACTAAGTCGACCCTCGACCCCCCATCTCAGAGGGCAATTTGACACGGGCAGACCCCTTCCCCCCCCCCTCCCCCCCCCCCCCCCCCCCCAAATAAAACCGATTACTGACCTGCCAGGTGGTAGAAGGCTCGCTACTCAAGGACAAGAGTTCAAAATAGGTAGGTCGCAGCCTAGCAGGCACACTTGTACTGTGAACGTGGAGAACCATTCCGTCGAATGGGAGAATAGTATCCTTAAAAATGTTTGCGCCCCCTCCCCACCCACCCCCCCCCCCCCCAAAAAAAAAAAAATCTGAGTACTGGATCCTGGAACGCGGTCAGTAAATGCACTCGGCGTTTGTCTTCCCTCTATTCGACGCGATCGACAAGCACGTACATTTGTTTTCAATAAATGCGTTGAATACGGACGACTTCGTGTGTTTGTACACTTTGCCGAATGGATGGACGACGGACTTCGCCATGGTGCCCGTTGTGACTGACGGCACGATCGAAGCTCTCTGCCGTAGTTCAAGTCCAAGTTACAGTTAAGACAAGCATTTTTGAATCGCGAGCTATGCGTTTAACCTGCTCGCAAAATTTAATTGCGAAGAATTTTCATAAATGTGGAAGGCTCACTCTACAATAATAATAATACTTTATTTGCATATATTTGAGGAGATCCAGGCTAAGGAGGAGGAGAGAAACCTCCTGTCCTCTCTAACGTTCCTAGTGCTCTAAAATTGTCTAAAAACCTGGGAGCCTGCACGTACCGATGCCAAATGTTCATCAAAGGGTAATTTTAGTGGTGGCTTTCACCCTGTGAAATTTGAAAACGTAGCTCCATTCTTGTGAAAAATAGGACCAACAAACTTGCCGAGTTCAACGGCGGACGTTTCATGCTGTCAGGACTCAGTACAGGGCGAAGGCAACGCGAAGGGAGGGAGGGCAAACACTAGAAAGGCTGGGGAGGAGGAGAGAAACCTCATCTCCTCTCTAACGTTCCTAGTGCTCTCGCCCTCTATTGCCCTCCTTTCCCGTCCCGCCTTCCTAGTGCTCGCCCTTTCTCTCTCCGCCTGGCGTTGCCTTCGCCTGCACTGCACGTCGGGTCTCCATAGAGTTCCTGTATATGCTACCTACGGTAGCAGAGTTGCGCATTCAGCCTCGGCGCGTGGCCGTAGCGCCGGCTTTCCCGCACGCCCTGGATGCTTTGCTCCTCACGTGACTAAATTTGGCGAATAGCGGTGCCGCGCACGGAAAACAGGAGAGGAGGAAAAGGAGGCGGAAAGCAGGGAAACATACGCCGGGGCAAGAGAAGCGTCGGCGGAGCGACCGTAAAGGTGGCTTTCTTGCACGCCACTGGATGCTTTGCTCCTCACGTGATGGGTCTCGGCGAATAGCGGCGTGGCGGCGCGGGGAAAACAAATGCGCAACTCTGCTCCCCCTTCGGGGGAGCTATACAGGAACTCTAGGTCTCCAGCTCGTTGCTCGCCCTCCCGCGGCGGAAACGGGAAGCGCTCTAGCGAGGGCCCCCATTGTCCCGCTCAGGGGCATGGCAGAACTGCTCGCGTAAAGGGCTCGCGAAATGTCATTTCCGAATGCAAACAACACTCTTCACTGTCCTAGCGTAGTGCTGCAGCCGGTATGGGATTCTACCTTATTAGAGAGCTTTAGTATTGCATATAGAAGCAAGTGCTGTGCGTTTGCGTTAGAGTTGCGTGCTCTACGTTGCGCATGCGCGTCATTGCCATGCGTCAATCCAAGACCGCATTTTTCGGGCTCCGCGCGCGCGAAGTGTGGAACACGCGAAGCTAACGCAAACACACAGTGCTTGCGGTCGCTCATATACGCAACACTAACGCTTGCTACTGTTTGCAGGCTTCCAACGACAACGAAACGTGCTGCAGTGAGCAGACGTGCAAGCAGGCGTTCCTTCGAACTGAAAAAGCTGAGATTGGCAAAACATGCGGGTTAAAATGAAAGGAACTAAATGTTATAAAAAAAAATTAATTCAAAAACAAATTCCTTTTTCTTCGGTTGGGGGAGGGGGGGATATGGTCTGTGAGAAAATTGGCGGCGACTTCGCAACTTTTGCCATTGTCAAAAGTCGCGACTTAGCACATAAGCTTTACCCACATTTAACGTAATTTTACATGAATTTCTCACATTAGCTACAATGTTCTCATTGTTTTTGGACTATTTATTTTTTAAGTTTGTATTAAAAATGCTGCAATTGGCACCAGTGATGATAATTAGCACACTTTTGATTGTCATGCTTGTTCGCTCGTTTGAAATTGGATCATACGCCACATTATATTAGAGCTTGAAAAATTATGTACTCAGATATCTTAAATTTAATATTATTATTAATACAAATTGCGGCAATGTATGCCCCCAATTAACGCCACGATAACAAAAATATGCCATTTAACCTTAATAGTCTTTCAGAAAGGTATCATTTTGTTTTCTTTTTAGCACATGAGAAAGTCTGACGTCGTTATCAAGATAGACAAACAGTCAAACACTGGATGCAATATAAAATCCCATGCGTCCTGCGTTGCTAAAAAATATATATATATATATATATATATATATATATATATATTCAGTTGACTGACTTGGATTATGTCTGTCGGTTTTTGTAGTGAGAACGGTGTTTCTTAATTTATGCGTTTTGTGTACATATTCTAAAAATTGGATTCATTCTGTTATTCTTGCGATGTTAAAGCAATTAATCATCGAAATACAACAATACTCATTAAAAGGCCCGCAGTTCATTTCACACGACAATAATCTGAGAGAAAAGGCAGCAAGAACGCGCAAATATCAGCACTGATTTTTTTAAACCAATGCAATATTCCATGTTATCTCTAAGGTGCATGAAAGACCCTGTCCTTAAAAGGACACTGAAATCTCCGATTTATTTTGAAGTGCATAGATCGAACACGTATGTCACAAAATAAAGTTTCCGCGAACAACTTCTTTAACTAAATAATTAGGATGTGAGACTCATCTTCAGTTATGAAAGAATCCGAAATTAATACCTATACTGAGAAATTAAATCCAAAATAGAGGTTAGTTTCTGTTTCGCTCCAGAATTAAAACGTGCGTCCTGGCGTAAGTATTACGCTAAACACCGTTTTTGTTTTCAGGCTAAAGAGGTGACCTGCGCTCATAACACCCTAGCTTCATCGTATTACCAGAAATAATTTTTGTCGCTCAGTGAAGCCAGCACACTGGACAAACTCAGCAGCGGCACGCATTTCCGACCCTCACTATATCCGCCATTTTGGAAAACGAGCGGCGCCACCTATAGACCTTTGCCAAAAGAGCGCTCTGGCCGGCGCCATTTTGCGAATCGAGCGACCCCTATCAGCCAGAAATTTCTGGCACCCGCCTGAGCTGTGGAAACCCGGTCAGCGTGACTCCCCACCTGCATTTTGCATTCGGAGTTCGCCGGCTTTTCTTGGAAGTTTTTGCTTTATTCGCCTGCTTAGGATGCTTACCCTTTGTATGTTATCTTCCACTGTGAGAACCAGGGAATACCAGGGCTCGTAGCCCGCTCGGCCTTCGCAGGAAACGAACGAAGAGAGCGAACGTCAAGCAGCCCGCGACGCAGGCAGTTCGACGTTCTTGGAGGATTATTTCCGTCGAGATAATCTCCAAAAAGCCTTCCAGGCTGTGTTCCGGGTCTTCGCAAAAGCTAGCTGATAGGGTCGGGTCCGGGGTGTGGCGACGGAATAAGCAGGTTCGTTCATTTGCTTTGAAGCTGTGCAAAAAAGGAGTTCTCTTCTACATGTTCCCCAAAACACGCCGGAT